GCAAAGTCTTTCAAGTACATTCTAGCACTGACACTATACAGGCTGCTACAAACACAAGCTGACACGGCTTCTCAAAAGAGCTCGACAAATGACAGGGTACTTTCACAACCCTAATCCGTAGCCGGAACCGTTTTAGGCTGGACGGCCAACTGCGGCTCACCCGGCCTTCCGGAGCCCTTGCTGCATCGAAATCCTGCATGGCACCCTTTTCATTACTCCCTTGCATTGGTGACGGTATATCGGGCTCCGTGAACTTTAGGCTTTAGAACTTCTGAGTTCACCTCAAGAATTTGTGGCCTAAGGCTGGGTACTGGAGCTGCGGGCTCAACATCTGCGAACTTCGGCTTTAAGGCCTGGGCTACGTACTTATTGCCTACTAAACCTTATAGCCTTAGAGCAACCCTGTGTAGGACCTCTTAAAGTAGCCCTCCTACTAAACCTTATAGCAACCCTGGGCCCTTACTGCAACCGCACAATAACCTCAGTAGCTGCGGCGTTCCCTTGGCAGAGTCCGGAGGCGCTGGAGATGGTCGGGAGAAGCGAGAGGGATTCGTACAAGGTATCCCTACCAAGGGTTACCACAGTAGTGTCTATGACAGTTTCTAGTGAGGGTTCCTGTTCATGGATTGGGCTCAGGGTCTAGAGATATACATTACGGCAACGATCAAACCAAACAAAGTAGTAAGTAGTTACTATTTTCTGGACCTACCAAGCCGTAGTCTGAGACGTACGTGCACTGATGAAGCCCGATGCTTGAGTGACCTCGGGAGACTTCTAAGGAACCGGACGCCCATAACTAGCTTGCTACGGGCCAAACCCGCGGGAGCAGAAGCTACAAATGAGTCCTGGAGGGCGTCGCTAGTGTAGGGTCGCTGAGATACTTCGGATACCTCGAACAAGTTTGGGCAGACATGGCGGCAGGTGCGTCTAGAGCGTGGCATCACACAAGCGGCAGGAAATCACACAGCAGATGAAATCCGAAACAGCATCGCAACGAGTGTCCAGCAATCTTAGCGAGCGGCGCAAGGGATCAGGCTGTATTGCTGGGTTCCTGCAACAGCGCACATCCGCGAGCATCAAAGCTCCACAGCAATGGGGCCAACTCTTATGTTGCAATGATAACTTCCCCTTGCGAGCTTCGATCCTCCTGGCTAACTTGACCACCCACAAAGCAAAGCACCACTAATCGGCCTTCAATCCCGAACCCCGAAGCTTGGATCAAACTCCAACTGGGCGGCACTCCTCCAGCTTGAGCCCTCCTCACGAATTCCCCGAAGCTTAGACTTCGAACCCGAAACCCCTAAACCCCCGCTCCCTTGGCTCCTGGGCATCGGGCTGGTAGGCATGTGTCGCTGCATGCTCAGAGGCCGACTTGAAGGTCTGGAGCAAAGGGCGGAGCTTTCGAGAGACTTGAAAAGGCTGCGAGGGCTTGAAATAGCTTGAATGTCTGTTGTTGCAGCAATGGCGCCCTTGCTGACCTTGTGGGTATCGTGAATGAACTAAGTCCTCAGCTGCTGTGACCTCTTTTGCTCTTGCTGGCTTCGCATTTCTTCGCTTCTGGCATAACGGGCTTCAGGGCAGATTCTGGATCACCAAGAAGCCCCTCACATGATACTCTCTGGGATGATCGCGAGAATCAGACTATTTATGTTTGCTGTGGCGTCTTACTCAAACACCGGGCCAGGTTTTGCAAGACCGCATCCGCCACTGCCTTTTGTTACCACATAGGAATTATTTATCATGCGATGGCAAAAAAGCGCTCAAACTCTTTCCATCACGGAAACAATGGCAACACGTTGAGGGGGCGAAATGGTAGGAAACCCTCCTGTCAAGTGCCCACTGCCAGGGCTGGAAGCAAGGACCCAGCTGGCAGTGGTGGTCTCAGCGTTGGGAATATCATTCCCGCCCCCTAAACACCTACAGTGCTACAGTTACCCCTCCTCTCCACCCCCTCCAAAAAGAAAACAGCACACGAGAAACAAAAGCGAGGCCCAACCTGCTCGCCGGCAGTCTCCAACGAGCCACGGCACCATGCAAGGTTTGCCGAGCCCTGGTGCAGGGTTCACATGCAGGACTGAGGTTTTCGGGGTGTATGCGGCTTTAGTTTTAGGGGCTTGGGACTTCAGTAATGTCGGCTTCCATTCTTTTCGGCGGTAGGTTCTAGGCTCAGGGTCTAGAGCTTGGGGTCTAGGGTGTGCAGGGCGTAGGCTTTGGGATTTCAAATTCAATCATCCCAATTTCCATCCTATGTTTCGGTACGGTAGGCTTGTGAGGTTGGCAGTTGTAGGTCATTGTAGGTTTAGTTTAGGACGCAATCTGTGGTTAGTTAGTCTCGGGTAACTTTTTCTGGGAGCTTCGAAGTCGGTCGAGGGATGACATCTCCTGCCGGTAACTTGGCTCCTCGGAACCGGGTGTTTCTTCGGTTGGAGTTCAGGTTTAGCAGCTTAGGAAAGAACTCATTTCGGGAGGCCTGTTGCAACAACAACTACCACTACGACTACGACTGCGACTACCACTACCACTGCTGCTACTACGACTACGACTACGACTACGACTACGACGACGACGACGACGACTACTACTACGACTAGTACTACTACTACTCCTCCTCCTGCTGCTGCTGGTGCTACTACGACGACGACGACGATTATGATGTTCTGCCTGCGTAACCCTCCGCAGTCCTTCCCTCTCATCCTTGACCGGTCCCCAGAAGCGCAGGCCCTAAGCTTAGAAACCTATGCCCGCTTTAAAAGCCTGAACAGCCCACAAGACACAAATAAGCAGCCTCAGACCACAAGCCCCAAAAGCCAGCCCTTGCAGTCCTAACACCGAAACCTTCAAGACCCAAAGCCCTGCATAATATACATAAGACACATACGTATATTTATATATATATATATATACAAAAAAACACACACACACACACACACCCCTACATGCATGCAGCATACCGGCTTGGTTATTTAAAGGCCCGGGGATCGGCCTGAGCATTGGGCTGGGAGAGAAGCTCCGCAGCCCTGGCGCGCAGCGCAGCGAGCAGCGGGGGTCCCAGAGCCTTGGGGGGTGTAGGGTCAGGGTTTAGATGGGAGATGAGTTTAGGGTTTAGGGCTTGGGTTTAGGGTTTAGGGTTTGGGGGTTTAGGGTATCGGATTTCGAGGTTTAGGGTCTAGGGGGGGCGGGTGGGGGCCTGAATAGCTAAAGTATCGGATCCTTTGGGTTCCTATTAGCTGTTCGGCATTGTGGAGCCTTAGCGCTTCAAAGGGTCCACTTAGGTTCCTAGTATTGGGGGCCTTCAATAGGTAAAGTACGTAGTTTCATCAGGGCTTTACAGGGCTTTCATAGAGTCCTGTTGAGCCTTGGGGAAAGGGTCGAAATGTAGGTTTCCTGGTTTTGCAGGGTTTTCGGGAGCAGGGGGGCCTGAAGAGTTCGAGTTCGAGTCGGGTTTTTTTTGGGCCGTAGTACCGGTTGCTGCGCGTCCGAAGCCTGAAGCCTAGGGCGAGCCAAAGGGGGCCGACCAAGTCGACCAAAACCTCCCTGAACCCTAAACCCTAAACCCCTTGGACCCTAAACCCCTAAACCTAAAACCCTAAACCCTAAACCCCTAAACCCCTAAACCCTGATACTCCGACTACCCACTCCCTCGACCCCGAGCCCTGGAGAGCCCCCTGAGTTCCAAATCAGAACCGGCTCCCAAAACACCTATAAACGCTAAAACCCTAACCCTTATCTCCAAGCGCAAGCCCTAACCCTAAACTCTCTAAAAGCCAGATCTCGGGAAGCAGCTGCTGACACCGTGGGACACCGAGCCAGATTTGCAGCTCCCTGCCTTGCGAGGGCTGGGCCCGCAGCATGCGTGGTAAGGGCTTGAGGCAGTTCGAGATTTCTGGTATGCAAAGTACCATCCCTGCAACATGCTGCCAGACATGCGCTGGAACCCAGATAACAAGGACTGGAGATTCGAGACGTGAAGCGCGCATGGGATCATGAACCCATGTGGTGAGCTTTGAAGCTTCTGGGCCAGTGCCTCCGCCAGGCCCTTTTTGGGGGCTTCTGGCCTTCGAGTCTTGGCCCATCGGAAGACCCACAGCTCCCAAATGGGGGGGTTTCCGAAAATAGGGGACCCTAAATATAGTACCCTAAATGGTAGGATCCTTATTATAGGCGTCCCGATGCAGGCATGTGTCAGCATCCCATTGGTGCAGGCGGTGCTTCTATGCAGAGTTCCATAGTGATCGTATTAAAACCCCCAAATAAGGTACAGTACCCTAATTTTCGGAAAGTCCCAAAGAACCGCAAGCAGAGGGTGGTCTCTTAGGCAGGGTACGGCGGCTGCTCCGCGAAGCCGGGCGCCAGTCTGCCGGCGATGGCCTCGGACCTTGTTGCATCTGGGATTTAGGGTTTAGGGGTTTAGGGGTTTAGGGTTTAGGGGGTAGACTTCTGTTCGGAACATGTGTGACTCGCACAGCTCGTCGAGGCAGCCTTTTGCGCACGCCTTGACGTCTTCTGGCACGGGCAACAGCGAAGCTTGCTATACCTATACCAAGCGGCACCTTCTATACAAAGCCTTGCAACGGAGCTCTGCGCTACGTCTGACGTTTGTAAACCCGATGCACGGCACCACAACCTCAGCATTAGATCAGCTGCTTCCTCAAGCTGGCACAATCAGTAATTGGAAGGCTGGAATACTCAAGAAGCCAGCGGCTCAATGATGAGCTGCGTGCACAGACGCATCGGTTCAAAACTGTGACAAGTCTTCTTCCTGGGCACAGGTCGACTCTTCGGCTGGACCGTGCGCACTGGGCCGCCCACCCAAAAGAGACTTAGAGGAGTTTAGGGTGTAGGGTGTTCAGGGTAGACTGAGAAGAGTTCAGAAGATGAGTCGCTCAGTGAATTTATCTCCGGTGGTGGTGGGAAGCCAAAGCAACTTGCCGGTTTCTCGCAAGACTTCTGCATGCTCCAATTCAGTCTACGTTTGTAAAGCCGTCGTTCTTCAGCCGGGCTCAGTCGGTGAGGTAGCCCTCGGTGTCCGGAATCTCCTGACGGTCGCTTCCTCTGCGGCTCCGCCCACCACGCCGAATCTTCTTGCTCGTTTTCTGCCCGTGGCTCAAAATCGAGAGCTTCAAGACCTCAACAGGCAAGTCTGGCTCGAAAACGATCTTCCGCACCATCACGGGCTCGAATTTCACCTCCACGTGCTCAAGCCTTGCAGGACCAAGACCGCCGACAAGGACTTCGTCCCCAATGCGGAGGTCTTGGGCTCTCACCTTGGCAGCAGTCAGTAAACTTGGAAAAGGAGATTGCAGGACCTCTGATTCTGAGTCTGTAGAGGAAGCATGCCGAAAACTGAGACATGCTGAGTTTAAGCTGAGAAGCCATGCGGTTGTCGGACAGGAGAACCCTGTGGTCCAGAGTGACCTCCAACTCAGCAGCACCAGCTTTCAGGACCACTGTGGCCCTGGCTTCATGATCCTCCGGATCCTTCGCCACCTCCAAGACGGAAGCGTCTGCAGCCAGAACTCTCGAGCCCTTGTGCAAGGCACTCCCAGGCAACGATGCACCAGTCTCAGACTTGAAAGCGGCGTCGTGCATGAAGCAGTTGCTGTTAGAAGTCTCGACGGAGATTCCACTCCTGACACTGCTTCTTCCCTGTGTATCTGAGCCACCACAGCTAGGAAAAACCCAGGATGCTTCGCTGACACTGTCGCTGCTGCGTGCGGCAGCCACGGGCACAACGGTCCAAGGCTTAAGTTGCCCTTCTGCCAAGCCCTGCTGAAATTTGCCGCCGTGTAGATTCACCGTGCTGCTGGCATCCTCCTTTCCTTTGGTGACATGTTGCATCAGGCACGACTGCTCTCGCCGAAGGCTGTCAAACACCTGCTGCTGGGCCTCCATCGTCTCAGCCGCAATTTTGACGAAAGTGCTTCGGATTTCTTCAAGCTGACGGCATCTCTCAGCGAGGTCAACAACACAGTCAATCCTTGATTCTGCGCTGCCACTGATGCTGGCATGCGCATCCACATGCTCGCGTACCTGGCACCTGCCATCCCAATGTTGCAGCTGGTCGACCCTGACGGAGAGCTGAATGACGTGCTGCTTCAAATCCCGCAGCAAATCTAGCTCGGCCAACATATCTGTTACCATAGAGGTTGGAGCGAAGTCATTCCGCAAATCGTGGGTCTCCTGTCGCAGCGCATCTAGCTTGGTTGCTGTATCTTTTGCCACTGAGGCTGGTGCGAATTCCTTCCGCAACTCCTGAATCTCCTGTCGCAAGCCCTCCAGCTCGTGATGAAAGTCGGGCTGAGCAGCCTTCGGTGAAGCCCATGACAACCTGGAGTCGATGAATTCACAAAGTTCCTGCAGCTGCTTCTGAAGCCGCTTCGGCTCAAGGGAGCCAAACCCGCCAAACCCGTTTAGTGCATAAACAAGGTCGCGACACCGCTTGCAAACGACGTCCTCGCTAATCCCAGGAGGCAGGAGGTCCTTTCCTCGCACCCATCCATATCCTCTCTCAAAAGTCCAGCCAAAAACCTCCAAAGCAGACATCAATATCGTTTTTAGATGATCAAAGCTTCTCGTGGTCTCATCTCTATCGCTTGGGAATGGGTGGAAGTCTTTACGGCCCAGCAAGACGCGGAGCTCCGCCAACGTCTGCAAAGCCTTCGTCATGGTCTTCGCAGGCTCTAGGACTTCGATGCACGCTGGGACCAAAGCTGCTGCCTGTACAACGGTGACTTAAACCATGCAAGCACTTTAACTTTGCTATAAGCATCAGGCAATTACCCCACCAACCGGATCTGATTTCGGAAGATGCTGACAGCGACTCCGACGATGCACACACTTACCCAAGCCCTGAAGGGCTCCCCCTCATGTCAGACGATGTTCGAGTGTCAAATTGAATCTGAACTATTACTTAAAGGCAGCAAAGACACACGCAGTCACGTCCAACAACTCGATCATCTTCTGATTTGATCATGGGATCATGCTATTGTCACTTCTGCAGCGTGTCTTGGGACGAGGCAGCAAGCTGCCCCAAGTCAGCAGGGTGCCTCCATGGTTGGGTGAATCAGTTAAGAGGGGAAACTCACTCCGGAGCACTGCTCCACATGTTTCGCATATCTTCGCATGGATGCAGTGCTTGACCGATGCTTTCGAAGGTGCGTCTGTGTCCAGAATGCACACCACGGTTTTGCCTAAGAAGCGACCGTGTGCATTGTGGATCAGACGGATGTGCAAGTCGCCCCTGCCTATAGTCTGTAGTGACTGCCCACAACCTCTTCCAGTGCTCAAATGTTGTCGAACAAGCATCCCCTGCCTGACTCTCAGCCCGCGTTTGCAGCATCTTGCGCAGAAGGCTCGTCCAGAATGGACAGGGCCTGGCACAAAGAACAAGTCCAGCAACATCCGAGACGGAGACTTATGCCTACAGTGCATCGCTGTCTTTGGAAGCAGCTACGCAGGTCTGCTGATCTTGTGGGCACGACTGCCTGTCCTTCACCGAGCTATATATCCTGGCCTCAAGATGCCTCTCTAGACTCTAGACTTGATTCAGACCTGCAAGCCAGATTGCAGCTGTTCACAGCAACCTTCCGTCTCTGTCCGAGCCTGACTGGATGGCGCAGCGATAAGGGAGCAACCCTCGATGGCACAGGAGGCAGGTGCCCAAAGAGTGTTCGACCTCACCGACGCTCTTATGAGGACCGTGACGGCTCTGGAAAGATAGCCCTAACCCCCCAGCTACCTGCTATATAAGGTACTAAAGCCCCTAGGGCCCTATATAGTAGGTACCTGGAGGGTTAGGGTAGGCTGCCACCCTAAACCCTAAACCCTAAACTGCAAAAAGCTGCTAAAATCCTGAGAAGGTGGCGGGCCCTGGTGGCCAGGCTCCACAAGGATCTCGAGGCTCTGAGACCTCGGCTTCCCCCCGAGGGGCCACAAACTACAATGTGCCGAGATCTGCAGCATAGGAGCCCTGAGGCCGTCGCCTTCCCCTAAACCCTGAACCCTAAACCCGAAATTTAGGGTTTAGGGTTCCGCTGTGAGAGTCTGGGCATCCAGCCTCAGCGCTTCGAACAGGGGAGCAGCCTGTGAGTGGTGGCTGGAGCGGCCCAAAAAGGATAAGAGAGCGCCTTGGAGGTATGTCTCATAAGGGTTTGATGTCGGGTGCTGGAAAGGACCCATGGATTAAAGCTCGTCAGGGTTGTATGTGCAGTGCTGCAGAATCTGCCCCAATGCAACCCACACATAACCACACACTCTAGACTCTAGAAGCCCTGACATCCTACCCACCCGTCCTCCGCCCGTAGCGAAGCAGGAGCTCAGGCCACGTTGGCAACACCCTGGGCACCGGCGCCTTTCTGCAGCAGGGAGCGAGGAACTCAGGGTGTTGAGTTTGTTTGTAGTTTAGGGTTTAGGGTTTAGGGTTCGGATGATAGGGTTTGAAAGAGTGCTGCAGCAGCACTTCTATGCATTCTTTGAAGGTTTTTTAAGGGTTTGGGAGCATGTCTACGCTCTTAGAGCGATCACACTGCTATTGCGACCAACATGCATACATGGCACCTGGCAGCAGATGCAGCGACGCTGACGCTGTCACCTTGGAAAATGGTCCAGAATCGTGTCGCTCCCATCTTTCACGCGCAAACGTAACAAGGTGCATTCCGGGAGCAACCTCACGACATACTCTGAGTGCTCCTGAAGCCACACTTCCGACATGGCAGACAGCCCCTTTTCTGCGCAGTCGTTACAAGTCTGCCCGGACGATGCCAACACCTCGGTGCACGGAGCGGTCACAGGCGAAGAAAAGGGCAGGAGACCCCTGGCAGCCGAGGTACCCCATCGAGCAAGAAAGCTAAGGATCTTGTCAACTGCCTGATCCGGATAAGAGGAGATAGAAAGTCTAGGAGGTCCTACAGTAATGATGCCTCATACTATTGAGGGTTTGGGGTTTAAGAGGAGAAGAATGAATCGAAAGTCTAGGAGGTCCTACAGTAGTGTATTAGGGTTGGTTGAGAAGGTCAGGTTGGGCTGGCTCCGTCTTCATGCTGTGGGTTCTAGCTCCAAGTTCCATCGTCATCATGGGGGCATCAGCCACTAGGGCTGTTAATTACTAATTCAGAGGTTCCTATTCGGATTCCCTCTATTCCCCACCTCTTAATCCCCTCCCCACTGACCCCCACCCCGCAAAACCACCATCGTGGGGGGGCGGGGGGGTGCCTGTGTGTGAACCCATAAATGAGCCCCAAGGTGCGGCGGTGAAGTTTCGCCGCCTCCAAT